TGGGGATCTGCCCGCAGCCAAGGGACATGCCCTTGACCGGAATCGAACCCGGGACCCTTCAGTCCCCAAGCCGACGCTCTATCCATTGAGCCAAACCGGTCCCGGCAGCACAACCAGAACCTCTTCTTACACATATACAGGCATATCAACATCCTGGGCCTCCCTAGGAAAGCCGAAAGTATAAGAGGAAAATAAGGTGTGTGCACCGTCATCTCTGTCCTGACCACACACCTGGCCTAGGAGACCACGTTAGATTCTCACTGATACCTTTTCAGATTATAGTCTTACACACAACAGGTTATATATTTTTAAAAAATATATTTTTATTGATTTCAGAGAGGGACAGAGAAATGGAAACATCAATGATGAGAATCATGGATTGGGTGCCTCCTGCACGCCCCCTACTGGGGATGGAGCCCACAACCTGGGAATGTGCCCTGACCAGAAATCGAACCATGACCTCCTGGTTCATATGTCGATGCTCAACCACTGACCCACACTGGCTGGACCAAATGAGGTTATATATTGAGAAAAAAAGAGAAGAAACGCTTTGTTCTGCATTTCCTCAGAACCACGAATCCTTCTGGATTTCACAACCCGTGGATCTACAAGAACAGACTTGTCTCCCCGGCTATTGACAGGTAGGTTCACTTGGATTTTTACTGAGATGAGAGGCAGAGCACTTTATACAGAGAGAACCATTCACCCCAGCCACTGACTCACAACAAGACAAAAACAGCAAGTGCCTGATGAAGGAGGTGAGGAAATGCCAGTCACCGCACTGTTACTGACACCTCTCAGGGAAGTGGGCGGGCCTACTGTTTCCACAGCAAACGCACACAAGGAAATAGCTGGTGTGAAGGTCAGGGCAGCTAATTGTTAATCACCAGACGTTAAGGAAATAAACAAAAGGAGAAAGATAAAATGAGCAAAGGTTATCAATTTATCTTCAGTTAATATGTCATGTTTTAATCTGTGAAAAGGAACATTGTCCTATCTTGGGCTGGGAACAAATATCAATCTTAAAAACACCCCCAGGATGCGGGTGGGAGGAGAGAGTGCGGCCCTAGGAACAACTGTTTCCGTTCCAGACTGCCATCTGACGAGGGGACCCTATGTCAGCTCCGCGAAGACAGAGGCTCTGAGAGGCTACAGGACTCCCCAGGACACTCGGCCTCAGTGGGAGCAAGATTCAAAGCTGCAAATGCTGCAGTTCCTCAGCCTCACAATGCCTCTCCCCTCCCCACCCTATTAAAGTAGAAATGGGGCTTCAATTCCATCACACGGGGGGGGGGGGGGGGGGGGGGGGGCAAAAGGTGGTTGACAGTTGTTCATATGGAAAACAATGCAATAATTAATAAATAAGAATATAAGGATAAACAATGTTTCACATATTCATAACTGTAGGCCTACTTTTGCCCTATCCCAGTGGTCGGCAAACTGCAGCTTGTGAGCCACATGCAGCTCTTTGGCCCCTTGAGTGTGACTCTTCCACAAAATATAATACCTGGGCGAATCTATTTTGAAGAAGTGGCGTTAGAAAATTTGGATGTCAAAAGAAATTTCAATTGTACTGTTGATATTTGGCTCTGTTGATTAATGAGTTTGCTGACAACTGCCCTAACCTGTATTATCAGTATAATATTACTTTATTTTCCTTGAAAGCTCTTAAGTCAGTGGTAAACCATAGACTCAATAGGAAAATTACATGCAATAGATGAAAACCAGACTCATCAACACTTTGTTTAATCTTTGTTTAATTTACTTAGAATAACAAATAAACTTAGATGTACTCCTATGTTCTCATATTCGACAGTGATATTTTAGAAAGTGGAGCTACAGGTGGGAAATTAACCTTTTTATTTCAAAAGAAATAAGCCCCATGAAGGCAAGAACCATAACCACATGTTGGTTTGTCTACAGCTGAACATGGAGCTCCTGGCACAGAGCCTGGTACATGTATGTGCTCAATTCTGTTGAATGAATAAATATACAGACAAGGAACCGTTACTAATTTGATCACCAGTCTTACGGACAGGGGGAAATGACAGAAGCAGATGGCTACCCTTAATTCAACTTAATGTCACTCCTCCTGGTAGCAGGGAGCATTCCTGTGTGAAGGGCCAGCTGAGCTCACTCTTTAATAAACTTCATGCAGGTAGTAAATAGAGGAAGTGGGTTCTGGTTGACCTGTAGATGGGTTATTAACTATACATGTAAGTGTAGTCATAATCTTTCACAAGTAAAAGGCTCTGACAAACATAAATGCAGGAAACCTGGTGGTCAAAGTATCCAGTCCCTTCAAGGGACACTTTAAAGGCATGCTCCTGCCCTAGCCGGTTTGGCTCAGTGGATAGAGCATCGGCCTATGGACTGAAGGGTCCCAGGTTCAACTCTAGTCAGGGCACATGCCTGGGGTGCAGGCTTGATCCCCAGTAGAGGCATGCAGGAGGCAGCCAATCAACGATTCTCTCTCATCACTGATGTTTCTATCCCTCTCCCTTACTCTCTGAAATCAATTTTTTAAAAAGTTTATTTTAAAAATCCTATCTAATAAAAGAGTAATATGCAAATTGACCATCACTTCAACACACAAGATGGCTGGCCTCATGTTGTCAAAGATGGCTGCCCCCATGTGGACATAAGATGGCCACTACAAGATGACCAGCAAGGGAGGGCAGTTGGGAGGGACCAGGTTAGCAAGGGAGAGCAGTTGTGGGTGATCAGGCCAGCAGGGGAAGGCAGTTAGGAATGACCAGGCCAGCAGAGGAGGGAAGTAGTGGGCCTGCAGAGAAGGGCAGTTGGGGGGCACCCAGGCCTGAAGGGCAGAGCAGTTGGGGGAGAGGGGAGGACCAGGCCTGTAGGAGAGGGCAGTTAGGAGCAAATAGGCTGGCAGGGGAGCAGTTAGACATCAATCAGGCTGGCAGGAGTGGTTAGGGGGTGATCAGGCTGGCAGGCAAAAGTGGTTAGGGGCAATCAGGAAGGCAGGCAGGCAAGCAGTTGGCAGCCAGCAGCCTTGGATTGTGATAGGGATGTCCGATTGCCTGTTTAAGCCCAATCCTGGTAGGATCATGAGATCAGGCCTAAATAGGCAGTCGGACATCCCTTAAGAGGTCCCAGATTGGAGAGGGTGCAGGCTGGGCTGAGGGACACTCCCCCCCGCCCCCCTCCTACCCCCAAGCACGAATCTCGTGCACTGGGCCTCTAGTAAATAAAAATAAAGACACTCTCCTGTGCTCTATTTTAATTCACTCTGAGGACTTCCCCATTAAAACAAACAAGGCCACACCCAGTGGTGGAGGGAACCGCATAAAATATATATCGTTTCTAACGTGTAGCGTAAACATTAACCTGAATAAATGAAATTATGGTTTCCACTCACTGAAACTAAAAGATGAGAAGTGACTTGCATCTTTGAAAACCAGCCTCAAGCTGGTGGTGAAGTGCTGGCTGCACAAAGCCATCTGGTGGTTCCTTCAAAAATTAAACATGGAATTGTACTGTAACTCAGCAATTCCACATCTGAATGTAAGAACTTGGACGTTCAAAGGTGGAAACAGAACCTTGGTGGTTTGGCTCAGCGAATGGAATGTTGGCCTCTGGACTGAAGGGTCCTGGGTTTAACTCTAGTCAAGGGCACATGCCTCAGTTGCAGGCTCCTTCCCCAGCCTGAGCTGGGGTGCGTGTAGGAGGCAACAACAACATTAACAACAAAAAAGTGGAAACAGTGAGCATTAACAACAAAAAAGTGGAAACAGTGTAAGTATTTATGGTCAGATAAACAAAATGTGGCCGGTCCATTCACACAGTGAAATAGTATTGGCCTTTAAAAAGGAAGGAAATTCTGAAATGCTACAATGTGGATAAACCTTAAAACATTATGTCAGTCACAAAAGGACAAAAATATTATATGATCTATATACATAAAAGCCTAAGCGACTGTTTGACTGGTCGACAGGTTGCTATGTTGCGCACTGACAACCAGGGGGCAGACACTCAATGCAAGAGCTACTCCCTGGTTGCAGAACGGCAGCAAGCCTATGGAGCAGCAGCAGGCACAGAGGGGCCGGATGAGCAGGAGCAGCAGGCAGGAGTGGCAGACGGTGTTAGATTGCTGGGTTCCAGCCTGATTACCGCAGGCCACACTGAGGGACCCCACTGATGCACAAATCTGTGCACTGGGCCCCTGGTTTTACTTAAATGAGGTCAAATTCACAAATATGGGTAGTCAAATTCATGGAGACATAAGTACAATGGTAGTTGCCAGGGGCTGGGGAGGGGACATGGAGAGTTAGTGTTTAATGGGAAAGATTTCCATTTGAGATTTAAAAGTTCTAGAGACAAAGAGTGGTTTTACAGTATTGTGGAATGTACTTTATGTCACAAAACTGTACAGTTAAAAATCGTTACAAGGGCCGAAACCGGTTTGGCTCAGTGGATGGAGCATCGGTCTGTGGACTGAAAGGTCTCAGGTTCGATTCCGGTCAGGGCATGTACATTGGTTGTGGGCATGTCCCTGGTGGGGGGTGTGCAGGAGGCAGCTGGTCGATGATTCTCTCTCATTGACGTTTCTAGCTCTCTATCCTTCTCCCTTCCTCTCTGTAAAAAAAAATCAATAAAATATATATTTTTTTAAAAATCGTTACAAGGGTCAATTTTATGTCCGTTTTCCCAGAATAAAAAGTTTAATAGCTTTAATTACACAGGCACTTTAAGAGACACACAAACTAAGTAATCACTACCTGAAAAAAAGTTTCAGAGGAAAGGAGAGTAAGAAGGATGCACAGTATGGTGCTTAACGACGGGTTACATTCTGAGAAACGCATCCTTAGGTCATGTCCTCCTCATCTGAACATCAGAGGGCACCAACACAAACCTAGATGGTGCAGCAACTACACCCCTAGGCTCTGTGACATACCAGCGTCATACATGCGGTCTGTCACTCCCGAGTCTGAAGTGGCACGTGCCTGTCTGCGCTGACAGGCGGTGTGGTCACTCACCTGCCGGATGGACATGGTGCAGAGGATGTACAGGAAGATGAAGGAGCAGTCCGTGGTGTCATCCCCCAGCAGGTTGCGATGGGACAGTCCTTGGATGTAGGAAAGGGGCGTGAAAGGGAGCTTTGCCACCACTCTGCCATCAAATCTGAAAAGGAAAAAACAAAGATCGTTATTTTTAGAAGCCTGACGAGCCTCTTAGTTCCCGAGAAGAATCTGGAACAGAAATAGAACTTTAAGTCTTTTGATCTGTAAAAAACAAGAAAAGGTGATATTCTAAAAAGAGACCTGACGTACAGAGAGATAAGGAAGGATGTAAACTGTTCCCGTCGATCTTTTTCTAAACCAGTGACTCTTGATTTTTTCAGCATCAGGATGCTGGCAGCGGTTCGAAGCCCTTCCCATGGAGCAGCCTTTCTGACGTGTGTGTGTGTGTGTGTGTGTGTGTGTGTGTGTGTGTGTGTGTGCGCGCGCGCGTGTGCACATGCCGGCTGAGACTGTAAGGCTGTTTAGTGCACTGTGTTCATCAACAATGCTAAGGAGGGGAATCACATGAGTATAAGGCGGTATTACTACTGGCAGAAACGGCCAGCTATTTCCTGGTCAGTCTATTGCATTAGAATTCATCTGTACATAAGACTAAGGAATAAATCAAATACTGAACTTCAAGCAAAACAGGACCCAAAATTGCAGTAATCACACAATAAAGCGAAGGCCAACAAGAAAAACTACACACACGCCACTAAAGCTATAAAAATATCATTTTAAAATCAGAAGTGTGAGTGATGGAAGGAGGCTTGACTTGGGGTGGTGAAAACACAATACAATATACAGATGATGTGTTTTAGAATTGTATACCTGAACCTACACAATTTTATTAACCAATGTCACCCAATAAATTCAGTAAAAAAGTAAAAAAAAAAAATCAGAAATTTGAGTACTTAGCACCTCTACAGGAAGCACTGAGCTGGATGTGGCAAGGTTAAGCATACATGAGAAAGGAGCTGTACCAATGAAGCTTACTCGTCAACACTCGTCCAGTGTTTGGTTTGTCTCTTCATTCAGAGATACGCACCCAAGAAATGAGAGAAAGCATGGCAGTGGAAAAAACAACACCGAATTTAAGATTATATGTTAGAAATTAGGAGACTTCTGGAAACGGGCAAGTTGTTGAATATTCCCAAGGTCCTTCATTAGTTAGGGGGAAATTCTGCATGAAAACCATCAGACACTCTGGCCCCTCCTCTAGGCAAAAACAGTCCCTTAGTCTTCCTCCTACTGTACTCCACACACACATTTCTGTTATGATACCCATCGTGTATCTGTCTTTTCTTCCCATGCAATGTTGGTATCACCAAGGGCAGGGGCACACCTGGCCTGTTATATAATACCTGGCACCATGCTTGGCACAAAGGGGCACTTAACAGATGGGGAGAGGAGAAATGACTGGGAGGAGGGGAGCATTTACAGGGAGAGAGAGACAGACAGAAATGAAGCTGGGAGGAAGAGGAAGAGAAAGGGAAGGAAGGGTGAGGGCAAGTCCTATCCTCGTGGGAGGGTCCAGGGAGCTCTGAGGGGATAAGTGGTGCGGGTCACTGGGCACTTGCCCAGCCCGTTAGAGCAGCTCCGCCATTGCTCCGGCCTGCCTGTGCTGGTCAGACACAGTAATCTGCTATCACTAATGGGATTTCAGTTAAAACTCTACTTTAAGAGTGAAAACATCTTTATATGTCTACCCTCCCTTTGAAGGCCCCACAATACCCAGTCTTTGCCTTGTATATAAAACATCCTCACTATTAAGAGCATGAAAAAGTCATCATATAAGTGCATTCTATCAAAATTCAATTTCCATTATTTCGATAATTGGGTTGGGTTATACATGAGGATGTCCAGGGAACACATGGTAGTAAGTTATGATAAAGGAGCATGAAGCATACTCTCCAATGACTCAGGAAAATTCAGAAATCATGTACATATGAGAACATACATGATATGGAGAGAGAGAGAAAAAAGAAGGTGAATGGGGCAAAATGTTAACATTTGTTAATCTGAATAATGGACATATATTTTTATAACTTTTCTGTACACTTAAAGTAAGAAATACAATATTATCACAGAGCAACAGTTAGGGATACTCACATGGAATTGAACATCCCCATCAGGGCAGTGAAACAAAAGCCAATTGCAAACATGGATTTCATTCGAACCTGTAAGGAGAGGACACACTGTCACTGCACACTGCAGAGACACCACCCCGGGGCATACCCCAGCTGCTTCCATGCCATTTTTAAAGGAGCCCCTTCGCCAGATGCTGCCTGCCGGCTACCCTCCACTTAAAAGCCCTCCCCTGGCCGCCTGCGGGGGCCAGGAGACAGCACGGGGTGGGAGGGGCCTGCAAAGGGACAGGCGTGGCGAGCAGCCATCTTCGGCCTATGCTCGCTCCTCCTGCTGGAACGGAGGGCGTGGGCCGGGCGATGCGGCACAGCGTTGGTGACATCCCGACAGTGAGCTGCCACGCCAGCCCAGGACACCTCAGACTTCTGGGCAAGTGAAAACCCTTCATCTGCTTAGGTCTTTGTCAGTAAGTGTTGTTATTTGAAGCTAACTTCTTTCTTAATCACTATGTCATAAATATAAATAAAATATTACAAAGATGTAAGCTTAACAACAGTTGTGTCTAGACCTTTATCTACCTCTTTTTACAGTCGTTTCCAAATTTGCTATGGTGACTATGTAGTAATTTTGTCAACAGAAAAGCTTTTTTTATTCTCACCGGAGGATATTTTTCCAATGATTTTTAGAGAGTGGAAGAGAAAGGGAAAGACTTAGAGAAATATTGATGTGAGAGAAACACATTGATTGGTTGCCTCCTGCACGAGCACAGGGCCATAGGCAGGGCGGGGAGGAGCTTGAAACTGAGGTATGTGCTCTTGACTGGAATTGAACCCGGGACCCTTCGGTCCTCAGGCTGATACTCTATTCACTGAGCCAAACCAGCTAGGGCGGTGGTCAGCAAACCATGGCTCACGAGCCACATTCGGCTCTTTGGTCCCTTGTGTGTGTGGCTCTTCCACAAAATATCACATGCGGGCGCACACGTACAGTGTGATTGAAACTTTGTGGCCTATGCACAGAAGTCGGTTTTCGGCCTGGGCGAGTCTATTTTGAAGAAGTGGCATTAAAACACTCAAGGGGCCAAAGAGCCGCATGTGGCTCGCGGGCGATGGTTTGCCGACCACTGAGCTAGAGCAAGAAAAGCCATTTTTTAAAAATGCACCTCTAAATTAGAATCTTTCTTAATAAGAACTTCAAAATAAAGATATACAGCAAAAGGCTCTCACTAAGCAAAAGATAACTGTTGGAAAGTCAGAATGTCCTACGTTAAATATACAGAAATGAAGCGAAAATTTGGGCACCCCATGTCATCGCCTGCCGACGCCTCAGACAGACATGCTTGGACAGACTGTGTGTGCTCTTTATAAATGAGCCAACGGACAATGAAGTCACTATCCTCACACGTTACGGTGAGTCTGCCCCTCAGAACAGAGGCTCTCACAGAAAAGAGGCAACAGTGAAGGCCCTGTAACACTCCAACCCCTGTGCCGGGACGACCCCTCACCAGAAAGCCAAAGGCGCAGCAGTAAGGTACGAAGATAAAGATAAGGGGAGCCCACCAGGAATCACGTGAAAGGAGCAACGATGGCCCGAGTCAGCCCAAGGACTATTCACATCACCACATCACCGGAGTGAGGCCCCAGCCCACAGCCGCTGCCCTCGGTGGCCCAGGAACACCCACGATTATCTGCAGCCTGCGCAGTTCTGAAAGGTGAGTGTGGTGTACCTGACACAAATGTTATGCTAAAAAACATGCTGTTTACATAAGTTACATTTGGGACCCTCACCATGGACAGGTCTCTGTTGTTGTTCTTCAGCTTCTCTTCTTGCCTCTCTGAAAAAAAGTGATGAGACAGTTAATACACAGAGTGCTAAGCACGTGGTCGAGGTTAAAGCATCACTGACTGGAGACACAGATACACCTGTTTCACTGGCGCTTGTTTCAATAAGACCAGCAGAACACCTTGCACATGATGTACTTTGTACTGACCGAAAACACATGCAGCAGAGCAACAGAATATTCCAGTGAAAGAAAGAAAACTCTTTCAAGTTTAACTTTATTTTAATGTTTTTCTGGATTTTTTTAAAGCCAATTTATTTATTTATTTATTTATTTATATTTTATTGATTTTTTACAGAGAGGAAGGGAGAGAGATAGAGAGCTAGAAACGTCGATGAGAGAGAAACACCGACCAGCTGCCTCTTGCACACCCCCTACTGGGGATGTGCCCGCAACCAATGTACATGCCTTGGCCGGAATCGAACCTGGGACCTTTCAACCCGCAGACTGATGCTCTACCACTGAGCCAAACCGGTTTCGGCTTTTTTTTTTTTTTTTTTTTTTTTTTTTTTTTAAGTGAGAGGAAGGGAGAGGAATAAGAGACAGAAACCTGGATGGTGAGGGAGAATCAATGATCGGCTGCCTCCTGCTCCCCTCCCTCTGAGGATCAAGCCTGCATGTGCCCTGATCTGGAATTGAACAGAGATCTCTTGGTTCCTGGGTCAATGCTCAGCTGCTGAGCCACACCAGCCGGGTCCAAGTTTAACTTTTTAAAACTGCCTCTGGTACTGTTTTAATGCTGTACATGAAGATCCACTCCTGCATTACGTCAACGGGAACCAATGAAAAAAAGGCAGGTATCCCACAACACTCCTGCATTCTGAGCTGTCTCGAATGGAAGATCAATTAATAATATCCCTGAAATGTCATGGATACTTGCCATGAAGAAGAAGCAAAATGTAAATTATCTGCCTGATGCAGCCTTTTTTTGTGGAAAATAGCACACAAAGGCGTAGAACGAATACATAAATTAAATCTCAGCAATGTCCTACCACAATTCCCAGTCTCTAGGAAAGGAGACCCCCCACACTCAGTCAGGGGTCAGAATGCCTGCCCTTCTGTCCCAGCCATGGGCTCTGCTGAAGGTCAGCATGGGAATGTTCCCAGCACTCCCCTCCCACCGCTGTTGACCTGGGCCACCATCCATGACTTCCGGCTTGAAAATATGAGCTGAGCTCGGCCGGCATGGCTCAGTGATTGAGCATTGACCTATGAACGAGGAGGTACAAAGCACATCTAGTCACTTACAAATGATCTCTTTGGAATAGAATTACATTCAGTAATTAAATTCTACAACACACTGAAAAACCAAAGTCACGTCATTATCTTTAAGATATAAAATTTCCTCAGGAGAAAATGTCCGGTCCTTGGTGGGTTTCCATCACCAGTCAAATCTCAGTAAGGAAGCCACGGATATCACACAAGTAGCTCAGACTTACCTGGAAATAATCATTGCAGGTATTAAAAACCATGTGCTTTTGCAAACTACATGAAGAACCCTCAGCAAGTTCAGAAGCCACAATTGTCAGCATCATTTACTAAAACTGAAATTTTGAAGCGAAGACCCAAAAGGAGCAGCTGCCTGAACATGTCCCACAGAACAGTTGAGAGAATCGAGTAAGAGAACATAACGAGTGCTTGATGAACCATACAGTCACTCACACACACACACACACACACACACACACACACACGAGTTACCATGCCAGCATCTTTATATAGCATCATCACCTGAGAATTTACTTCTTCCAAGAAAACCTACATTTTGTGTAGACCAGTAACTCATCTTACCTATTTTCTTCTTTTGTTGTCGGCCAGCTGACTCCGTTATTGTTTCCTTCTTCTTTTCCACTGTAAACAACACAGTGACACAGCACAAATTAATTGCTCATTGTAGTAAAGAAACAAAAGCTCCTTTCCACAGCTGGACCAATGGAAGAAGCTTACAAGAAAGTTACATGCTGACTTTGATTTTGATCCTGACTAAGTCAGCTGGTCTGCTCTCACACCTGCTGACAGTAAAAAGTGGACACACATTCTAAGACTGAAACAGCAATTATAGTAGCATCGTTAAGCAAATACCCACGAAGGATGCAGAACACAATCATAATCTAAACGATGAGTTTTCAGACCATCAGTGAAGGGTGACTGCCTCAGGGACAAAGAGTCCAAGCACATTTTGAGTTCTGCTCTCCCGTAACTATGGCTAACTGTAGTTACATTCTCATGTTCACTACCGGAGATAGGACCCACTCATTCAGCTATTGGCACTGTTCTAGGGAGATAAAAAGATAAACACAATCCATGTCCTCTAGAGAGCAATCCAGTGAGGGGAGACAATGAAATAACAATTACAGTCTAGAAAATAGGTACAACAGACACATGCAGTGGGCAAGAAGAGTACGAGGGCCAAAAAAGCTAAGACCAACTTTAAACTATTTTTTAAAATTGATTTTAAAGAGAGAGGAAGGGCAAGTGAGAGAAACATCAGTGTGCGAGAGTAGCGCTGACAGGTTGCCTCCTGTATGTGCCCTGACCAGGGCTCAGACCAGCCACCTAGTGTGTGGCCTGACTTGGGAATAGAATCTGCAGCCCTTCAGTTCACAGGATGATGCTCCAACTGAGCCATACTGGCCAGGGCAGACCAACTTTTTTTTTTTTTTTTTAATATATTTTATTGATTTTGTACAGAGAGGAAGAGAGAGAGATAGAGAATTAGAAACATCGATGAGAGAGAGTCATCGATAAGCTGCCTCTTGCACACCTCCTACTGGGAATGTGCCCACAACCAAGGTACATACCCTTAACCGGAATTGAACCCGGGACCTTTCAGTCCACAGGCCGACACTCTATCCACTGAGCCAAACCGGTCCCGGACAGACCAACTTTTTTTATGTATCAATTAATAAGACAGAGTAACCATATACATTTAAAGAAGAATAGTGAAATATATTTATATTTTATAGTAACTATCTTTAATCCCCATTGAATAGATTAAGAATAAACATGTCAAAAATGACCTTCACATGGTTTATTTATTTTTAAAATATATTTTATTGATTTTTTACAGAGAGGAAGAGAGAGGAATAGAGAGTTAGGAACATTGATGAGAGAGAATCATCGATCAGCTGCCTCCTGAACACCCCCTACTGGGGATGTGCCCACAACCAAGGTACATGCCCTTGACCGGAATCGAACCTGGGACCCTTCAGTCCGCAGGCCAACGCTCTATCCACTGAGCCAAACCAGTTTCGGCCACATGGTTTATTTATATGAACTGTTCCATATATTATCTCAGTATACTTCCTTCAATAGGAAACAATACAGTGCGTGTATTATTTCTAAAATATAAAATACACATTTGTTATATATAAAATAAAAATTTTATATATATATATATATATATATATATATATATATATATATATATATATATATAAAATGTTCTCTTTTATTTGTATTAAAGAGAACTGGCAGATAGAATACTTCCCCTCATTACATTAAGTATGCTGCTGAGTCCTAAAAGCAAAGTTGATATTCCTGCTTTATGAAGGTATAAAGTTCCATTGGACTGCAATACTGCAAATTAAATGGTGAAGTGCTGACTAAAATGAGAGTGTGAATGTGTGTGTACACATACATGCACATGCACATATTGGGCATCAGTGATTGAGCATCAACCTATCAACCAGAAGGTCATTGTTCCAATTCCTGATCAGGAAACATGCCCAGGTTGCAGGTTTGATTCCCAGTGGGGGGCACGTAGGAGGCAGCCAACTCATGATTCTCTCTCATCATTGATATTTCTCTCTCCCTCTTTTTCCTCTGTGAAATTAATAAAAACATATTTTTAAAACGAGATAAAACACTATGGGGAAAAGAGATTTAGAATAAACCTACTTAGGAACAGATCATAAAAGGAATTTAAATCAAATTTTATAAGATGCCACAGAAATAACATTTTTTTAAAAATGGACAGAAATCGGATGGTTTACTTTGTATCATTATTATTAAAGAAACAAAAATATATTTTTCCCACCCGGGACTAACTACGTGGCATTTAACTGTAATGGTGTAAAAAGCAAGGGGATAAGAGACAGAAGGCCAGAGAACAGAAAATAAGGTACTCCCTGAGCACTAGGCGGGCTTTCAGCAGTCTGGACTGAGACAGATAAATCTTCTCTAGGGATATGGTCATCTTTTAACCTCCTGTTTTCCTAACCCTTTTGTGTTGATACTTATTCACCAGGGCCTCACCCCATAACAAGCAGCGGAGATGCTGGAGTGGAGAGATAAAATGAAATGCATTTTGCCCATGACCTGGCATTGCTGCACTGTGAGTTCCAAATTCTCTCAGCTATAAATTATTCAAAAAACTCCAGCATGTTCTTCTGCAAACAACGGAAGCACTTTACACTTCATAGTAATTTGTACTCAGTAAATGCTCCATATAATTGTTACAGCAGTGAATTACACATACTTTAATCTTTCTCTTACTGACATGTTCTTTCATTGATCTCTAATAGGAAAGGAGACTTCCTGATCTTTAGAGAGCACTTAACTTTACTGAAAGTCACGGATCACTTGAACCAACCCACTGGGTGCCTTTAAAAAAGCATCTTTTGTCAAAGGCCAGTCACAACAGGGCAGCTTTTTGGAAAATATCAGTATTCCCCAAATAATGTCAAGGATCAGGTCAGCACAAGAATCTAATCTGAAGTCAAATCTATTTATGTTTTTTTGTATTTCTCAAAGGCCCTATAAGCTTTTCTTGCCTAGATCCACACCACCACTGAACAGAGGATGTCAGAAGAGATCATGTATTTGCAACTAGAACATTTGTTCAAAGAGGAACTTACCTTAATTCTTCCTGTGAAACATCTCCCGTGCTCAATATAATAGTTGTCCATTTGATTATAGCTATCTAGAAGACAGGCTCTATGCCCATTTATTTTGTAGTAGAGGCCTAATGCACGAAATTTGTGCAAAAGTAGACCTTCACAGCTGGGACGGCTGCCTTGATTCCCACAGCTGCAGCCCCAGCTTCTATCGGAAGATCACCCGGAAAGTCATAAGAGCGACATTCCGCTGTTTGGGCACTCGGTCGATTTGCATATTACATTTTTATTATAGACTAGAGACCCAGTGCATGAAGCTCACGCACTTGGTGGGAAGATCCCTCGGCCTGGCCTGCACTCTCTCGCAGTCTGGGAGCCCTCAGGGGATATCCAACTGATGGCTTGTATATAGTTGTCCCTAGCCCTGCTGTAGAGGCGGGAGAGGATCCCGCCACCACTGTTGGGCTCACACGCCATGAGCCCAGCTTCTGGTTGAGTGGCGCTCGTGGGAGCACAATGACCACCAGGGGGCAGCTGCTGCATTGAGCATCTGCCCCTTGGTCTGTGCACATCACAGCGACAGGTCATTGTGCCATTTGTTGATTTGCAAATTAACCTTTTATTATATAGGATTGCACTCATCATAATTAACTCTACACACAGCATGCTATCAAATGTCAACTGATCAGACATGCAAGTAATACACACTTACTGAATTTCCATAGCTCCCCCAAACTAGAGGACCTGCGACTATGAGAAATGCAGGGGTCATTCCAATCATCAGCCTACTTCATACTTACCTTCACAGCAGCATAATAAAGAATTATATTAAAAAGTACAACTATGGCCGAAACCGGTTTGGCTCAGTGGATAGAGTGTCAGCCTGTGGACTGTGAAAGGTCCCAGGTTCGATTCTGGTCAAGGGCATGTACCTTGGTTGTGGGCACATCCCCAGTAGGGGGTGTGCAAGAGGCAGCTGATCGATGTTTCTAACTCTCCCTCTCTCTTCATCTCTGTAAAAAATCAATAAAATAAAAAAATAAAAAATAAAAAAAAGTACAACTATGCCAAAACCGGTTTGTCTCAATGGATAGAGTGTCGGCCTGCGAAGTGAAAGGTCCCAGGTTCGATTCTGGTCAAGGGCATGTACCTTGGTTGTGGGCACATCCTCAGTGGGGGGTGTGCAAGAGGCAGCTGATCAATGATTCTCTCTCATTGATGTTTCTAACTATCTATCCCTCTCTCTTCCTCTCTGTAAAAAATCAATAATATATATATATATATATATTTTTTTTTTTTTTTTTTTTTTTTTTTTTAAAGAGAAGCACAACTATGGGAGCTTTGCCTGACAACTACTTTACTTTGAATTTGGGTGTAAAGGCAACTTGGAGTGGAACTAAAAAAGCTCATAAGCTATTTATGTGAATAATTAAGGTACAGAACATTATCCAAACAAATGTGAAGCTAAATGGAATTTGTTTAAGGCTTATTTAATAAGGCTTCTCACTGACACATGACATGAAAGGTGTATACAGACACCATCGCATGGTGGCCGACTAGTGTATGATCACAGCAGAACAGGTTCTCACAAAAAAAGCAGGTCAGTGTGAGTGGAACAGGTGAGTGGCAGGGAAAGTGTATCAGAGCGGTAACAGGGGAAGGTTATGGCCCCTAGAAGGATTTTGTTAATCCTCACCCCAGAATATTTTTCCATTGATTTTCAGGGAGAGTGGAAGAGAGAGGGAAAGACAGAGAGAAACACATCCATTGGTTACCTCCAGCATGAGCCCCAATCACGGCCCAGGCCGGGAAGGAGCCTGCAATAAAGGTAAGTGCCCTTGATTGGAATCGAACCCGGGACCCTTTGGTCTGCAAGCTGAAGCTCTATCTACTGAGTCAAGAGGCTAAAGCCACTAGAAGGATTTTGGCTTCTCTGAGAGAAAATGGAACTCCCTCATAGAGTTATATGCAGAGGAACATCATCTGATAGGCTTTTGAAAGGATTATTCTGGCTGTTATCTTGAGAACAGACTATAAGGAGACCGAAATACTTGTTGGAGGTTATTGTAATTATCATGCAAAAGATGATGGTGCCTCAAACCATGGAAGACCAATGGAGGTGATGAAAAGTAATCGGATTCTGGATATATCTGAAGGCAGCCCAACAGTACTAGACATAGACTGTGAGAGAAAGTCAAGGACACCACACAGGGATAATGGCCTGAACAAGTGGAAGGACAGAACTGCCTCTCGGCACAGGCATGAAAGTTACCGATGCAGCAGGCTTGGAAGCAAGGAACAAGAGTTCAGCTGAGTGTGCTGGGTTTGAGGTGTGTATTAGACATCGAAGTGGATTGACAGTTAAGAATATGAATCTTGTATTAGCGAGAGTAGGAGCATAAATTTGAAGGTCATGGCAACCAGAGCACACAAAAGAATTCACCACTGGCAATCAACCCCAAGGACAGAGGTCAAGAAGAGGAACCAACAAGAAAACGGCAAAAGAACGGCCAGCCAGAGGAAAGCATGACCACGGAGAGTGGTGTCCAGGACCAAATGAAGAAAGTGCTCCCACGCAGGTACCTTCCCCAACCAGGGAAATCCTGAGAGAGGATAATGAACCCGGCTTTAGATATGTTGGGGTGCACTGTCCATAATAAATAAGGGAAGGAACAGTAAGCTGTAATTTAAAAAGCTGACTTTGTCTAATTCTTTATTTGTGACCTTATTAAGCCTCCTTTCCTATAAAGGAGGATAATATTCATATAACCGACCACAAATGGTTATTATGTGGATCAAATAACACACTGTAAGAAAGAAAACATCAAGATCATATAAGACACAAAGCCCTGCGGAAATGCCATCTTCATTTCAAATAAACTCTGCTTGTTCTTAACCTTTTTGTCAAACACACCTTCAACCAAATGAAACGTGAGTTCTCCCCCAGGACACCACTTACCTAGATGCCAATCATAGTGACTGCTGTTCACCAAACACATCTTGGTCCTTAAAATACCCTCCTTTGGCATCTATGCTATTTCCTTTATCTAGAAATCCTTCCCGCCTCTCATTCTCCACCCAAATTCTAACCACCCATGAAGAACTGCAAGGTCTCCTGCGTCACAAAGGTTTCCCTGCACATGACACATACCTCTCGCATCACTGACATTTTGCACAAAAGCCATATTCCTAATTAGACTTCAAGTTGGAATCGTCTCTGCGTCCCTACAAGGTTTTGGGCTGGTGCTACTCAACTATTCACTATCAACATGCGCTTCAAGGACCAATTGAAACTATTTCTGAAGGGAACTGCCATACTCACATTTTTTACTCTGTTTTTCCACTTCCGCCTTCAGCCTCTTGTACTTGTCTGTCCTGTAAACCAGAACCCAGGTGATACCTGCAACATGAAGCGCAACGTGCTTATGGGGAAATGTTTGCAACCGTACCAACAACTGCCATTATGGCCACGGTTGGGTAAGGAAGGATTTCAACTCTTTTGCTTTATAGGCGCCAGTAGTTAAAACGGACTCTTAACCAAAAGCACCTGTAATGTGATGACAAGGCGTCTCCGCAGACACTCAAGTGACCAAAGAGACTCGGACACCGCGTGCACACGATCCCTCCCGCCCGAGTCGCCGAGGTTCGCTGGGGTAGAATACATGAGCCCCCGAGCAAGCAGGGCTGACGAACTCCCCGGTGTGGCGCCGGCGACCCCTGGCCTGGACCCCTCCCTCGGGGACAGCTCAGACGTCAGGGAAGCAGCGCCCTCACCCTCGGCGAGAAGAGCCGTGCACACGGAGATGAACACGATGAGCAGCGTGTCCGCGAACATGGTACTCATCCTGCACTTCCGGCTCTGCACTCCCACCCGCCGGGGGGAAGCGCTCGACAGCCACGGACAATGAGCGAAAAACGACTTTCCTAGACTTCAGGACCACCGAGCGGCACCGCGCCTCTGACAGATAGGGAGCCACACTTCCGCTTCCGGGGCACAGCGCCGGAAGGGCTCCTTCCGGAGAGCGAGGCGTGGCCCTCGCGGAAAAAACGCGGCCGCGCTCGGGCGGGCCTCGCGAGAATTGGAAGTTGGGCGGCTGAGGCTGGCGTGGCTTGAGACCTGGCCTTCGGCGGGGAATCCGGGGCCGGGCGCCACGTGGCCGCGCTCGGCCGTCCTCCGTCCCGGCCCGTGTTTGCGGCAAAGGGAGAAACCGGCTTCCTCACGGCTCTGCTGGGGCCGCGGAGGCGGGGCGCCGCCGGCCTCCGGGGACGTCGCCCTCGGGAGGGCCCGCGCGGTGGGACGGAGGTTCGTAGACGTGTGCGCGGCGGCGAGTCGGGGAGGGGCGGCGCTCGGGAGCAAGCGAAGCAGGGGCTCGGAGGAGGAGCGCTTCGGGTGGGCCGGGAAGGACCGGAGCGGGGAGTGGGGAGTCGGGAACCCCGGTGTCGGCAGGGGCACAGGCAGGGGCACAGTCGATGCCCCCGCGCGCCGGGCGGAAGGCAGTGGGGGAGGCCCCGGGTGCGGGAGGGAGCACTGCCGTCTGGAAGGAGCAGCCGATACACCCAGCCCCCACCGGTGCCCTGCGAGAACCACCGCCTGCTTCCAACATCTCCCATATTCCAGAAGGTCCAGCAGCCCTGATGTCACGTGAAAGTTCAGTTATGAGTGCTGGTAGCTCATTAGAACAATAATAATAAAAAGACCTGCTGTAAAATGTCTCAGCAGCCTGTTCTCTGCCTGATTGTGTGTGCGCGCCTGCGCTCTCCTTGGCTCTTTTAAACTCAAGCGCGCTTTCTAGTGCTCGGGCTCCACCGCTTTGGCCTGATTAGTTATAGGTGCGTTTCTGTGTTCTCTTCACATTTAGAGGCAGAGACCCTGTTCCTTAGCAGACATTGAGTTCCTGCCTGGGGCCGGACAGGGGTGGGCACTGCAGGGCCAGAGAGGGTGGCACGGGTACTATTACGTTACGCATTGTAAGAAGGGGTGATAGAGGTGGGTATTCATAAAATGTGGGAGCACATAGGAGGGCAAGATAACTTTCTGGAGGAATTGGGGAAGCTTTTCGTTTGAGCTACACCTTGACTTGAGTGGTTCAGGCAGGGTAGGTTTTTCATCAGCCTGGCATGGCCGATGGTAAATGGGGTGCAATGAGAACGTGACCTGGTTCTGTTCTGGCTGTCACTTAATTGACAGTCGTTCTGAGCATATGGTTCCGCCTCAGTTTCCTTATCTGTAAAATGATAATAACACCAGCTTCGTCTACTGTTGCAGAGATAGCATGAGAAAGGGTAAGTTATAAAGCTGTTCCTGGCACACACAGTTCATCAGATCCAGCGTGCTGTTGACTGGAAGATGGCCCATCATTGTATGTCCTCCTGGGAAAGAAAAGAAATGGCGAATGAAGTTGGAAGATTTCGTTTTATTCTCGGGTGTTAAAATATGAGGGGAAAAGCTGCAGGAAAGTGAAAAGCATTGCTCAGGTCCCTGAGCATGGCTACTACAGAGCCAGGCAGTGCGAGGACGTTGCCTTCTCCAGGGTACCCATGTCGTATCCTGGGCCCCACGTGGAAACCAGTGCTAGAGGCAGATTCATATAACGGCTCTTCTGCATCCTCCAGGTTCCTTTGTCATATTTCCAGGTTTTCTAAGCTCTCAGGTTTTCCCCATGAAGACCACCCACCAGAGTTCACTGTCCTGCTCCCGTTTCTAGGACAAGGCTTTTGTCCTGAGACGTCCTTTTACATCCTCTAGGGCAGGGTTTGCTGTTCCCTGGATCCGCATCTTCCTCCTTTGTCTATACTTTGTTTTTGTAGTACATCCTCAGGTGACTTCCTGTGAAAAGTAAATGACAAATACGCCTGCAGTGTTCTCACATTATTAGTGGGCTTAGTAATAATACTGTTCTTTTAAAAAATGTTCAGTACTAAGCCGAAACCGGTGTGGCTCAGTGCATAGAGCATTGGCCTGTGGACTGAAAGGTCCTGGGTTCAATTCCGGTCAAGGGTATGTACCATGGTTGCGGGCACATTCCCAGTAGGGGGTGTGCAAGAGGCAGTTGATCAATGTTTATCTCTCATTGATGTTTCTAACTCTCTATCCCTCTCTCTTCCTCTCTGTAAAAGAAAAAAATCAATATATTAAAAAAAAAAGAAAAGAAAAGAAAGAAGGTCTCCACCTGGACCCCATTAAAAAAAATGCTCAGTACTAGGCTAAGAAAGATAAAAAGTTAAGAGAAATTTAATCCCTGCTTATAACAGATATGAAAGGATACAAGATTCATGTTTTTTTTGTTCATTTGTTTTTATATTTTTAACTAGAGGCCCGATGCAGAAAATTCGTGCAAGGGGCTTGGCCCTCACAGCCCCGGCTTTATTCAGAAGATCATCTGGATGGTCATTTAGCTGTTCAGCCGTTTGGTCCATTTGCTTATTACTCTTATTATTATTGATTTTAGAGAGGAACAGAGAGGGAGAGATAGAAGCATCCTATATAATAAAAGGATAGAATACAAATTGACCCTTAAGGCAGAAAAACTGCTCCACCATTCACTATGAGGTGCACTGACCACCTCTTGGACCCTCCCCCTAGCCAGGAGGCTCCAATGCCTAATGGTGAATAGGGAACTGGGGGTTGTTAGTGGCAAGGATCAGGGCTGGCTGTGGGCAGCTGGGTAAAATGGCCCTGATCGCAGGCCAGGCCTAGAGACCATACCTGTGCATGGATTTTGTGTGCTGAGCTTCTAGTTGAGAGAGGATCATCAGTTGCTCTGCAGGCTCAGTAATAGGGATCAAGTCCACAACCCTGGGGCATGTGCCCAAACCCGGACGCTAACCATGACCTCCTGGTTCATGGGTCAACCACAATCACAGCTACACCAATTGGGCAGGGCTTCAGGTTTGACTTCTAACCCAATTCATGCAAGCTGTAGTACTTGAGCAAGTGATTTAATTTCTATGGGCCTCATTTAAAAAAAAAAATCTTTATATAGCACTCCAAATGAATGGCACAATATGGATTAATCCTAGAAATACAGCGTGGAGCAAAAGTAGGTTTACAGATGTGGGTACAAGAAACAGTTTACTTTTGTATTATTTTCCATACAAACAACTATAAACCTACTTTCGTCTCAACTGTATAATATAGTGTGAAAAGAGTAATTTCTTAATTATATACAGCATGCATTAGACTTCATAAAGTTAATAATTATAAAAATTCCTCCAAATACTGTTTAGGATGTTAAAAGAAAAAACAAGAAAATGATGATTTTGCTGGTGTTGCCTTGAATGGGAAAAGGCTGGGTGAGGAGAGAAACCAAGATGGCGGCATAGGTAACCGCCTAACTGCAGCCTCACACAACAATTTCAAAAAATACACCTAAAATATAAAGTGGACATTATCCAGAACTACAGGAAAGTTGACTGACTGGAAATTCTATAACTATTAATAGAAGGAAAGAAAACCAGAAGGAAAAATCAGAGGAACTGTAAAAGCCTAAGATACGCAGACACGGTGTGCACGTGGGGAGAGGACGGAGAAGGAGAGGAGGGGCGGCTGAGTGCCTGATTGGCGTTCCCTAGCGGGAAGGAGATAAAAGCTCCTGACTGTGCTGAACCCCAGTTCCGACTGCACTGAACCCCAGTTCTGGGTGAGACCCTGGAGTCCCAGGCTCATTCAGAGGGATTCTAGGCTGTAAAGCGGAAACTCAGGGGAGCGGCAAAAGGCAGAACCCCGGAGTCGCCCGCACATTATGCGCAGAGGAGGGACTGTTGACTGTGCCGATGGATTGCCCTAGCGGGAAGGAGACATAAGCTCCGGACTGCACTGAACCCCAGTTCTGGGCTCATTGGGGTATCCGGTAGTGGGCAAAACTCAAGGGGACCTTTCTCTCAGATGTTTGCAGCGAGTACCAAAGGACACTGAGGAACACTGAGACTCAGGGACCTCATAGGACGGGGCTGACAAGAAGCCAAGGCTGGAGGCTCCACCCTGAAACTCCACCCCATCCAAGCTGAGCACAGAGGCTTTTGAATAAGGCTGTCTCTAGGCATAGACACAGCTGATCCTCACAGCCAATTGGCCTGGAGGTCAGTTCCTCCCAGTGATACCAACAACAATTAAGACTTAACTACAAAAGACTGTACACACAGTCCACAAAGGGGTACATCAAGAGTGTCCACCTCAGGTACCTGGGAGGCTGACCCACTGAACCATATAGGACACCTTAGCACACAAAACCACCCTACCAACTCAGAGAAGCAGCGAAAATGCCGAGACAAGGAAACAGATCACAAACAAAAGAAATGGAGGACAAAAAGCGACTGGATATAGAGTTCAAAACCACGCTTATAAGGTTTTTCAAGAATTTCCTAGAAAAGGCCGATAAAATAAATGAGACCTATGAAGATATGAAAAGGGATCAACTAGAAATAAAGAACACATTGTCTGAAATAAAAAGTATTATACAGAGTCCCAAAAACAGAATGGAACATTGCAAGAATCAAGTCAAAGATTTGAAACATAAAGAGCCAGAGGATACTCTGCAGAAGCAAGAAGACAAGAGAATCCAGAAAGTTGAAGATGGCATAAGAAACCTCTGGGGCAACTTCAAGCAAACCAACATCAGAATTATGGGGGTCCCAGAAGAAGATGAGAGAGAGCAAGTTACCGAAAACATACTGAAAGAAATGGTGAAAGAAAACTTTCCCCACCTGGTACAAGTCCGGAAGCGCACTGAACCCCAAACAAAAGGAATCCAAAGAGGACTACACCAAGACATATCATAATTAAAATTCCAAGAGCAAAAGACAGAGAATATTAAAAGCAGCAAGAGAAAAGCAGGTAGTTACCTA